GTGTGTGTGTGTGTGTGTGTGTGTGTGTGTGTGTGTGTGTGTGTGTGCGTGTGTGTGTGTGTGTGCGTGTGTGTGTGTGTCAGGTCGAGCAGCACCAGGTGCAGCAGCAGCCTCTGATCTCAGCCTGTGAACCTCCTTATCAGTAAGCCAGTGGTGGATAGTTTCTCTCTCTCTCTCTCTCTCTCTCATATCTTTCTCTGAGACAGATAGCATCTAGCTGAAACACCCTCAACCAAAGAGAGGAAGTTATTGTCGCACACACACAAACCTCTCAGCTTCCCTTAAAGTTTCAAGGAAATTATGTTTTCCCTCTTCCCTCTCCTCGCCCCCTGCCTCATCAAGATGCAGTACTACACACAACTTCTGAAGATAAGAAAAGGCGGAGGCCAAACTGTCTTTTAGCATGCAGATACGGCTCTTCATTCAGTTGTACTTCAATGCAAATGCTGCCCTATATTTCCCCTCCTGCAGCCCTGAATCACTCATTCTCCTCATAGTTTTTGCTAAATTTTTCCCCATCCTTTCCTTCTTTCTCTTGTAAACATGTTTATTGATTGTCCTTTTTCTTTCATTTCGTCCTCTTCCTCTCTCTTCTTGTATAAACCATGTAATCCCGTGTTGTGGGTAATGCAAGATGTTACAAAGTAACTCAAGAAGTGAGTAGATGAACTGTATGCATCTCCTCAACATTTTGGTTTTAACTTCAGAAGGCTTTAATCACAGTGTTTCTTACTCCTGCTTGCTGGTCATCACCCACAATGCTTCTGCATGAGCTGTCATAAGAGTAAATTATGACTCCTACATAATTGCTGAGTGGTTACACCTGATAACATCGTCCCGACCGATGGTGTAATCATGGAAGAGTGGCACCCACCCTCTCCCTCAGGTAAACACTGTTCGCTCTATCAGCACTTTTGCCATCGTTTGCACTGTTAGCTGCGAGCCACCTTTTTAACAAAAGGAATAGGTGTTTCCGTGACGCCGGCCGGTGTTTCCGTGACGCTGGCCGGTGTTTGTTCGCCGGCCGGCGGATTGATTTGTCATGCTTGGCAATTTTATGTGACTGGCTCTTGTCATTGTGTTAATTACATTTATTCTGACTTGTCCGTTAATGACGAAGCATCATCGCGGGGTTATTTTGGTTTTTTGTTATTGTTCCGGGTTCAAAATGTCACACATCCCGTTGTCTGTTACGTGAGCGCAGTCCATCGAAAACATTATATTTCCAAATGCACTAGTATTATTCAAACGTATTGTTCGGTTCGTAAGCCTCGTACCAAACGGTTTAATACGAATACGTGTATTATTACACCAATAGAAAGAAATAACCGTAGCTCAGTAGGACAGCACAGAAGGCCCAGGTATAAAATGCACGGCCCGCCACTGCTTGAACACCAGAGATACGGAAAAGATAACTTCCACAATATAATTTGTTCCAGAAAATGTACAACACTTTGGTGTTATGGTGAAACTGCGATATAAAATGTGATATACAGTGCTATATTTTTATGTACATTTTTATCCATTTGAATATTTTATTGTTTTTAATCTAAGAAGGCCAAGCGCGTAGTCGCTGTGAGGGACGGGGGATCAGGTCCCCTCAATATATGTAATTATCAGTGAGAAAGCCAATCTTCTCTCCTCAATATTTAGTGTTAAAATAACTCCAAAATAGTGGATGGTCACTGAACTCCCCCTGCTTAATTTTAGTTTACATGTAAACCACCAACAGTGAACACAAAAGCTGTGAACGCAGCTCTTGGGCGCAACATTTCCTGTATCAACTGCACGCCACAGGTCTACAAGGGGCACCATATGCACACGTGAGAAAAATAAAGCACATTAAAACACTGAATCTCATCTGAGAATCTCTGGTGGGAGTCTCTGCGATGTAAACTGATCATTTGAAATTCTAAATGCCTTTAAAGCCGATGACTCATCTTCACACTCCAGACTCCAGTCTTTCCAGACACAGAGGAAAAGGAAGATACATTAAATCACAAATAAGAGTTTCAGAGTAAATGAAAGACTCTGGACATTTTGTAATTGTATAAACGGGATGTATAGGTACTGCTTTGGTAAGTGTTTTAACCGTCGTGCCAGCAAAGCTTATTTGAATAGACCTTAATACGGAGAAGCAGAAAGACAGAGAGAGATGAAAGGGAGATAAGGAGAGGTATAAAAAAAAGTGCCAAGGAAAATAAGAGTCAAGGAGGGTTAACAAACAGTAGAAGAAGAAAAAAAAACAAGGAAAACAAAGAAATGCAAATAATAAAAGATCAAGAAGTCATGTGAGCGACTCAAAGAGAAGAAAAGAAAAATTGGCAATAGAAGAAGAACCCTCTGATGGAATACAGAAACAGAGACACAGGAGGACTAATAGAAAAAGCAGAAGCAGAGAGGGACCATGGAGTACATAAAGAAACAGTTAGAGCCCACAGGGACTCGGGGTGGCTTTGTGGCCCTCCAAAATGGCCTGCGGCCAGTGCGGTGATATAACGGTGCCATTAACTATACAGGCCATTAGTTTGGTTGGCTGGAGTGACAGTGGGAGGCTAGCCTGACAGCACACAAATAGCATCCACGCAAGATGGAGGGAGAGCAGAGATCAATCAGAGAGATGGGAGTGGGCAAGGGTGGACAACAAAGACAGAGAAGGTGTGTGTGTGTGTGTGTGTGGGAGGGGGATCAGTCAGCGGTCAGGAGAGGAGGAAGAGGAGAAGGGGTCTGGGGGCCTAAAGGGCAACATGTGGAATGTTACGCTTTAAAGGCTTGAGGAGATTTGGCAAGGTGAGTGTGTGAGTGTGTGTGTGTGTGTGTGCGTGTGTGTGTACATGTGTGTATCGGTCTGAACATGCATTAATCATCTGATTAAGCACTTTTGACCTCAACCACTGCACACCAATGACACTGCATACATCACTCCGGCCTCGACTGCCTCTCACATCTCCCCGACCTTCAGCCAAACATCTTTCATGTCGTCCACACTCCGTGTCCGTATGCTGATAACACATCATTCGCTTCAGTGAATCCTGCAAGCCTCTCTGTGTCTGTGTAGGCGACCGAAAACAGCTGAGACTGATCTTTGTTACCAATACTGGGAAGAAGCAGCAATAATCATAAATAAAAGCAATGACAAAAAACCTTTTATGTTCACTACACAAGTTACGTAGTGCCCCGCCTCCCCCTCATGTCAAAGCGGATGTTAATGTTTACAACTTGAATGAGAGGATGAAGCGGAACAATCCTGGTCACGAAAAGAGAATTTAACACCATGAGGGTGAATTGCGGGAACAGCAACCAGGTAAACGTGTGCTCTCTCAGTAACGTGAAGTTGACGTGCCACCTTGCGTCTCTTTAGTCCGTCTGTCTTGCTAACTTCCTAGCTTCCTGCCTGATGGGACTAAAGCAAACAGTCAGTCCGTTTGGGGCGGGGTCCCGAATGATGCAGGAGGCCTTTTTCCTGCACGTGCTGGTGTAAACCATCTGCTGCAGTGACTCTCTGTCTACAGCAGAGCAGTTACCGTACCCTACGGTGATGCAGGAAGTGAGGATGCTCTCCACCACACACCTGTTGAAGGAGGTGGGGACTGAGGTGCCAAGACCAGCCTTTCCGCAGAAAGTACAGGTGTTGGTGGGCCTTCTGAAATATGCTGATTGTGCTGATGCTCTGGGTGAGGTTAGCTGAGACAGCTGCTCCTCCAATGTGGAGGAGAGGGGGAGTGGTGCCAGTCTTCCTAAAGTCCACTATCATCATTTTGTTTTTTACATAGATTTTTACACTTCCTGTCTGTACTGAGACTCCTAGCTGTGAGTGATGAGTCCCACTAATGGCGTCTAGCATAACTCAGCTGTGAATCAGAAACCATTTCTGAGTGTAATCTGTCACTAAATGTTCTTTTTTTTTTTTGGTCATTAAGGGTTTTAAAGAACTTCAAAGAGGCCCGCGAGGGATTTTGCGAACAGTATCTGTAAAATACATATTGTGTGCTCGGCTGTCCTCCACCCTACCCGACCCCCGTCCTCCCTCCCCTCATTTATCCCTCTACAGTCCTTATGGTCCCATCCTTGCCTGTACTTTCCCCCCCTCTTCTTCCCTCCTCCTCTCATGCCGACCACAGACCCACACTGACAATTACAAGGCAAGTCGTACGCTTGTGCTGAAAGCAGACACTTTCAACTGTGTACAGCAGCATGTGTTTGAGGGGATAAAGACAGGGTGGGGGTGGGGGTGAAGGGTGGCATTTACAGGAAACAAACCCCCTCGCTAAACTCCTCCCACAACTGTCCATCTATCTGTCACATGACTACCTTGCTGTTATAGTGATTTGATTTTTACAAGGGTCAAGACGGGAAATGCGGGTGTGTCCATTCACAAGACAAATTCGATTGGTTCTAAGTGTGTGTGGAGGAGTCAAACTGAGAGGGAAATCACTGCAACCTGCAGAGGAGGCCATTTCTACCTGGCCCAGAAAATTCTGCGGTACAATCCTTTTACACTCCACTGCTTTTGCTGCAGTGCCCTGTATTATGTGCCCATCCCTCTATCCCTCCATCTTTCTTACTCTCCTCCTCCCCTCCGACTCCCACCCCACCACCGCACACTTAAACTGCAACTGAGCTGATCCTTATCCACTGTCTCTCCAGCCAGTGCTTCAGGCTAAAGGGTGGGAAGTCAAGCTTATTTATGAAGGGATGCATCAGACACACGTGTACACACAGAATCACTCATAATCTGTGTCCAAATGCAGAACCATCACATGAATATGAAACAAGGAGAACGATACAAAGACCGGCTTTGTTGTTACTGTTATTTCCCTAAGTTAATCTGTAGATGTGTATCAAGATACAGGCTATTATCTTGTCCTCTGCAGGGTATTATAGCAAGCCTTGTTGCATGAGAGAAGGAGTGCATGAGTGTGTCTTTGCCCTGTAACCTCTAGAATAATATGGACTCACTTATCAGTTGAGACGCCGCGCACAACAGACTTCCACAATTAGATCACGCGCACACAATCATTCACTTAGGATGGCTTCAGTGACAGGGTTAGACGAAAGGGTGGTGAGATTAGAGGAGGAAGATGAAGCAGGGAATGGTGAGAGAATGGCAGGTGAAGGGAGAGGAGACGTAAAACACAAACCTGTGAGTCTTTAAAAACTAAGAAACAATTAATTGGCTTGTAAAAAGGTATCAAAGCCTGCGCTTGCATTCACAGAAGAGCCATGAGCAGCGAGTGCAGCCCAGCGAGCATTTTACTGCCTCTGTGTCAGTGACAAGAAAGCAGTTAGAGTAGCATTGTGCAGAGCCGTAAACACACTGCGGGCCCACGGGGAATCGATACGACGCCTTGGAGCATGGGATTACACCGCTGCGATTCCCTCTCTTTTTTTTTTTACTTTGCACCCCCTGCACTCTCCTCTCGCCACGCTACCCTCTCATCCCGCCTCTCCTCTCTCAGGCTAACCGGGCTTACCTGACAGTCTCGCCAATTATCGCATTCCTTTTTATTGTTGCCCACCACAGATGCAGCCCGACACACAGATCCAATTTCTCCTCCCAAAGAGAGGGCCTTTAGTGGGTACACAAGCATCCAGCCAAAATGAAACCAGGGGAGGCAATGGTTTGTACTATTGAGGGTGAAAAATGATATTGTCTCATAGCTGCCTGTTCCTCTAATAACAGCCATTAACACTGGAGGGGGAGGAGAGACAGGTGAGCTGACACTCAAAGGCACCAACAAGTGCACATCCAGTTTGGGGCAGTAAGAGGTGATGGTGTGACCAACGGAAAACATTTCAAAGAAAAGAGTGCATGAGTGTTTGTGTGTGTGTTTGTGTGTGTGGCTACGTTACTCACGTTCCTCTTCTTTGGGGTCCAGCTGTGTGACACTGATGGAGAGGCGGTCCACGCGCTCTTGTAGGGAGTTGACCCGGAAAGAGAAGGTGTGGGCCTCGTTGAACAGCTCTCCAAACAGGTCTTCTGCATATTTGCCTGCATGCACGCACACACAAGCAGAATTTTAGTTTTTTATGGATTTCATGCTCATGAAGTACTCAACAAAAAGCCATTAACATTTTTTTATGCAGCGATAATGCGAAAAACGATCTTTTAATTAAATTTCTTCAAAGTGTAATTTCTCACTTTTCACCAGCCGTTAGTTGTGTTTTACATCGGCTGTCTCTGGGGGACTTGTAGTCTATAATTCTGAGGTCCTTTTTGTTTTCAAAAGGTTGACTGCAGTGCTTTGTCAGACAAAGAGAAAACTAGGAAGTGCTGCTGTTCTTTGTAAAGCATCATAGCTTAAAGATGTGTGATTACAGATATTAAAAGATGAAGAAACGCTGTGTTAGTGGTGACGAGAAGTCCTTTGGGAACCTAACGTTGGAGGCTGACTGCTCCAATGTTAGACAGCTGCGTGAAGATTAAATTAAAGAGGAAAACTGTTACTTTAACTATTCAGACAGGCACGACGCTGGACAGACACGAGTCAGGGCAGCATGACTCGTGTCTGTTGGCTGCTGCAATGCTTTCAGCTCTGTTGCTGGCTGTCAGTGAAGTCTGCTCAACTACTTTTGAACCAGATGCTGGTACAAGCGTCTCTACTGCTGCCCGGCGTGATTGATTCCTCAGCTGACACCGCTGTCCGCAGCGCGGCAGGAGAAACGCTCCGTGGTGTGCTAGGATTTTACAACTGAACGACCAGGACTCACAATCGGATGTTTTCACATCACAGGTGACGAACAGCTTAAGTGTCTTACAGTTAAAACATGAGATTAATGATATAATGTAGCGGTTAAGTGCGGGGGGGAAAGTGATCTGCAGAGGGGCTGAACTGATACGAACAAAGAAATATTTGTAGGTACTGTGTTCTGAAGAATAGACATCACTAATAATGTTGAGTGTTTAAAAATATATATGAAAAAGAAAAAGCATGAACCAATGAACCACAAGCACATGACAAATTACTGTAAGACCCCCCTCTGAGTCGACTGAAAATCAGCCCTGAGTTTCATCATAAACTTACTAGCGAAAATATGCAATTGTGAAAACTGATCTTGGATGTGAAGGATTATCAAATGTGTCAGTTAGTTTTCTGAATATTGTAATGCCTGCTATGTACTGTCCAGGAAATCAAAACTGACAAGTAGGCATTAGCTGACTGAGTACCTAATCGACTTACATGGAGCCGAGGTGCGTGAACAGTATGTGTGTCCATTGAAATAGCTGTATGAGAGAATGAATGAGTTTCTGTGTGTGTGTGTGTGTGTGTGTCTGTGCCACTGACTGAGGCTGCTGAGCTGGCGTATGACGTTGGCCAAGGAGATGTTAGTCACACACTCCAGCTCATTCTTGATGTTCCTTGGCAGCACCGTGTGGCACAGGTGCCTCGGCTCGATGGTGCGCTTCACCAGCGGCATCCTTCTGCTGCGACACCACTACCTGCAGGAGTCGGGTGGAGAGGGACAGGACAGAGGGAGGGGGGGGCGGGGGTATGAAGGAATAGAGGACACAACTTAGTTAGTATGACTATTGTTGTTATAACTTGTGATTTAGCTTTTTACAACAATAGAAGACACTCGTTGCTTTGCTCAGACAGCACCAGAATCGAGTTTCAGGGTATAAAGGGCGTGTGGAGAGGGAATATATTCACCAGGATCCCGAAGAAATAGAAAATGCAACAGAATAGCAGCCATGTCGCCTCAGCTGTGTCTTTTCCTCTTCATCATGCATAGCCAATATAACAAACCTCATCACTTTGTCTGCCCACTCGCTCACCCATGCTAATGGCATAAAGGGCTGCAGTGCTGTTCTGCTTAGGCCCAATTCTCCTCCATTCACGCCAAAACAAGGACGACTTTCCAAAACCACAGAAGATACAGAGGCTGAAGTGATCATCAACAAATACGACAAATAACACCTTGTCTCTCTGCTGCGATGATATAATTAGAGCAAGTGTGTGGAGTGATTTAGAGATCAGGTGGACTGACTGATTGACAGTGATAAGGCCTCGTTAAAGCACTGATTCAACATTCATTGACGTGTGGTACTTTTAATATCCCGCTGTATTCTTAGCGGCGTTGCCGTCACCGAGGGATGAGCATGATTATTGACCGTATCCATAAAAATGTAGGGCAAGGAAGGCTATTCTAGGAAGTGGCCCAGCTATGGATGTTTAGAGGGGAGAGAGAGGGAGCCCAGTAAAAAGGCTTTGTTGAGGTGATTCATCTAGGAAGCGTCTTAAATGGGGGCAAAAATGCCCAAAAAAGGAGAGAATGAGAACCTGCACTCCTGAAAGCCGTTGTTTAAGTTGTTTGAATAAGAATGTGCGGCCGATGTTACAAACCCAAACACGGTGTCAAATTTCTCCCCACTTCTTAAATAATAAGATGTCGTCTCTGCTCTTTCGAGATCTTTATTTTTAAATTTCCTCCCACAGTTACTCCTTCACCCACACACACTCACACACTTACACATTTTCTCCTGATTGGGTACCTATTGACCCAGTGTGCGCTGACATTTTCTACAGCCTCCAGAAGTTTTAGTAATGAAGGGCTAACTCTAACACTCGCCACGGTGGAGGTGCAAACTCAGTTTTTAAGGTGTTAACCTTTAACAAACAGGCCCAACACTACTCAATGTAACATCTACTGTACGTTCAGGGGGGTCGTCTTGAAAACACAGGCTCGGTCTAGCATTCTGGCATTCTGGCAAATGTCAAATGGGGCGTCCCTACCTAAAATGCAAGGCAGGTGGCACCGATTATTGTTACGGAGCTAGCCAGTCAGCAGCAGCACTGCCAATGCGATGACTAAAACCTCCTATTTGTGGTTGAGAGCGGTGTATTTTGTTAATGTGCTGTTGGCTTTAATTGAGTGTAACTGAGCTGTAAATCCTGAGATACAGGTGAATTTATTTCTAGTAATTCTGCTTTTGGCTTTGAGTGTTCCTGAATTGTAAATCCTGTGGCGATGAATGTGAATGTTTGGCTTCGTTCATAAGCTGTTGGCGTTAATTGTGCGTACGTGAATTCCATTTTTGGGGTTTCCGTGAGAAATATTCGAGGATATTTGAAGATTTGCGGGGGGGGGGGACGACACAACACCAACTGTCATATTTTCCTTAAACCTGCGGTCATTATTTACTTATGTTATTATTATATTACTTATACTCATATCATTAACTATTATTTACTTTGCTATCATCGTCTAATGGGAGATGAGGACAAAAGTTTGACTTCAAGGATTTCCCTTTTCATTATCACAGCAAATAAATTGCAGCAATAGCTCTTGAAAACTAATTTGCTCACAGGCCCATAAACAAATGAATGAATAGACTGCAGTCTAAACAAATGTAGAAAATAAAAGACCTGTTGATCTGTTTATCGATCTGCCCTTCTCCATTTCAATACCCGGGAGAGTGTCTTTCACACACACACACACACACACACACACACACACACACACACACACAC